GATGGTGTGGGGGGGGGGGGGGAGCTATTTTGTTGTCCTTAAAAAATGTGACATATACATATACTTTGAACTCCAAAATTTTGTCGTCTAATTTAGCTTATGTAAACAGATGAGGATACGCCAATTGTTTTATTCATATAATTGCATACAAATGATAATAATGCATTGTTTCTTGTAAGAACTTAAAGCAGCAATACTAAAAAAATTATAGCATTACTTGTACTCAAAATTGACATGATATAATAAAAAAAAATGACATGATACTTTTTAACAGTAAACTCCTTCAAAAAAGTGATATTTACCTTCATAACAGATGAAGAAACTAATGCGCATTAATTCATATGCAAGATAAATAAATTGTTATATCATGTCCTTTTTAATGTAAAGCAAAGTTGAATTCATATTCTTGTTTAAAAATTTTAGAAAGACCCTGTATGCATTGTTCAATTGATCAAAAAATAACTCAAATAAGATAGCTAGTACGGCCATATTGGACTTTCTTTAAAAATGACATAAAATATAACTTTCAAATTCCCATAACCTTAATTCATATCAAAGACAAACACATTTTTGGCCATTTTTTAATTTAATGTCACACGATCAATTTATAATAGAAAAATACATTTTATTTTTTTTGCTTGTTAAGTTTTCAATTTGTTTATAAGAATTTTTTTAGATATTTATGTTGTGTTAAGTGTGAATTAAATTTTCATGATAGAAAAAGTGACATTCTACGTCACTTTTTAATTAAGAATAATGACATAATGTAATAAAAAAAGGAAAAAAAAAAGTGACATTGTATGAAACTTTTTAACTAAAAGGTGTCACTTAATTAAAAAGGTATCACTTAACTTTATGCAGTATTTTTTATTTTCAAAACACTTTTTCATATGATTTTTTAAAATATCATTTGGTATTTCTGTAAGTTGACCATAAGAAATTTTATATTCTGATAGAAACATATTCGTAGGTTTGAAAGTCTACGGATAATATTCAAGCCCATTGACATTGGAAAAAGAACTATATTCTTTGAAAACTCTTTTTCCCCTTGAATAAAGTATATTCATGGGTTTGAAATTATACGAATAATATGTTTGAGCCATATTTTTTAAAAATTCATTTTTAACCACACATCTTTTCAATAAAATATTTTTACACATAAACTCAAATAATTTTCCTACTTTTTAATCAATTGTTTTCAAAACAACACTATTACAAAATATATTTTCCTAAAAAGATGGGACTCAAATACTAATTTAATTTGCTATGGATCGAGAGGAGGAGACTGGTCAGTTTTCCCAAACTTAACTTTTACCCTGAATTTTCCATTAAAATGACCGAGAAGATGTTCGGGCGGCCATCGACTCAATCTAGCTGCCTTGTAACTTTCTAATCGGTAATTCTTCGAATTCTGAATTTTCTTCTAGCAACATTATTGAGATTTTATTTGACCTTGTAGGAGGAAACCAATTTCAATTTCCTTATTGACTTCTACCGTTATACTGTAAGTTTGGCAGCATGAAGAAAAAATGGGTTCTAAGAATTCAATTTGGTGTTGGCCTCGAGATAACGATTAACAAATTTCTTTCGGTTTATCGCGCGTTCTCCTATTAACTCATTGAATCGATGCAAAAGTAAGAAAAAGACGAGAAATAACTATATTAAAGGAGGATACATAAATTTGCATGTCTTTCTTGATTTTCATCTATACCTATTTATAGAAAAATAATTATACAGATCAGTAGCAGATTTAAAAATTGCACTGCACCGAAACCATGACTGTCCAAGTTAGTGTTGTAACTTAAAAGAAGTTTTAACCTTTCAAAATATTAAAACACTTTAATTTTAAGTTTTAATATAAAATTAAAACATATGGTAACTTTTAATGGTGTAATTGTGGGATTAAATTTATCCCTATAAAAGGGAGTTCTTTCATTTGAGGAAAACAACTTGAGATACAAGGAAAAATAAAATATTATATCTATACTTTATACTATTATTTCTATAGTTTGTGGCTACTTGATGAAAGGCTCGTTCTTTATCTCCCTATGGTCATGCCCATAGAAGGAGAGCCACATGGGTTTTATCTTGGAGTCGCGTAGTGCCCAAAGAACCCGCACGAAAGGGAGGCAACACGACTTTAGGACAGCGTTCTTGACGTGACTCCCAATACTTGTTTTTCTAACCCTATTATTATTTTATATTATTGTTGAATTATGTTTACGTCTAATTGATTATATTATTATGCTAATTG